CCTCCTCTTCCTCCTCCTCCTCCTGCTCCTCCGCCTCCTCCATTTTCGGATCGGTGTTGTGCCTCCGTCGTTCAGGATGGCGTTCTCGCCCCAGCGCGGGCCTCTTTCTCGCGCGCCCATCCGCCCGCCACCACCGCACCGCGCCCCGCCCGGCCCACCGCCATTTCCACCCACCAACGCACGCACGCACGCACGCACGCGCACCGCCACCACCACCCCACTACCCCACCCACCACCACCACGCTACACCGCGTCACACCACATCACACGCGCGCGCACACAGACACACACGCACGCACGCACGCACGCACGCACGCACAGACACACACACACATACACACACACACACACACACGCACACACACACACACACACACACCACCACCGCCACCACCACCATCGCCATCACGCACGCACGCACCTGGCCCACCACCAAACCACCAAGACGCCACACCACGTCACACCACAGCACACGCGCACACACGCACACACACACACACACCACCACCACCACCACCACCACCACCACCACCACCACCACCACCACCACCACCACCACCACCACCACCACAACCACAACCACAACCACAACCACGCACACACGCACGCACGCACGCGCACCACCACCCACTACGCACGCGCGCGCGGAGCCACAGGTCCGCTACGACACGCGTCCGCGGATAGAGAAAATCAGCGCCATGATAAGGGATGGGAGGGAGGGGTAGGACGTCAGATATGACGCGAGCACACATAGCTTGTCCTCCTCCCCCTCCTCCTCCTCTTCCTCTTCCTCGTCCTCCTCCTCCTCCTCTTCTTCCTCCTCCTCCTCGTCCTCCTCCTCCTCCTCTTCCTCCTCCTCCTCCCCCTCCTCCTCCTCCTCCTCTTCCTCCCATTCTCCTCCTCGTCCTCCTCCTCTTCCTGTTCCTCCTCCTCCTTCTCCTCCTCCTCCTCCTCCGCCTCCGCCTCCGCCTCCGCCTCCGCCGCCTCCTCCTCCTCCTCCTCCTCCTCCTCCCATTCTCCTCCTCGTCCTGATCCTCTTCCTGTTCCTCCTCCTCCTCCTCCTCCTCCTCCTCCTCCTCCGCCTCCTCCCCTTGCTCCTCCTCCTCCTCCTCCTCCTCCGCCTCCTCCCCCTACCTCTTACCTGCTACCTGGCTGCGGAGGAGGGTCCATCGAGGGCCTCCGAACAAGGGAAGGAAAGACGGCAGGGCCGCCTCCGCCAAAGGAGGGCATTTTGCAGCTACTGACAGAGGCTCCATCCCCCTGCCAGCAGCCCGACAGGAGGCGGCCCTAAGGACGATCACTCAGGCCATGCCTTGAGATCTGGGGGGGCCTTCCCCGCTGAAAGACGTGTGACCACTCTCTTGCCACTGGCAGCGAGGCCGGGAACACACTGCTTGCCTAACTTCAAGAGCTTGCCTCTCACTGGGACCCCCGTTCCTCCACAGGCCTTGCACCACACAACCCCTCGGAAAGGGTCCCGTCGAAGGGAAGCATGAATCGACGCGGGGACCCCTGGGCAGCTCGAGACAAGGAAAGACTCTGGGTCACGAGACTCCTTGACGAGACACGCCTGACACTTCCACACCCCCGAGGAGGAACTTTCCATTCGGTGCTGCGTGGCAGACATGAGTTGCTCAAGCCTTTCTGCACGGGTCTGGTGCGACTCTGCAGCGCGCAACTTGGCTTCTTCCGGGCGGTTCCCTCTGGCGGAGGCCCCATTCAAGGTTGGCGCCTGCTTAACCATGGATAAGGAAACCGCCTGGAATGAATCGATCACCTGCGAATTCAGACGATCCTTCTCGACTATCTGGCGACGACTGTCAAAAGGATCTGGGTCATCCAAGCAGCCTCATCAGCTGCGTGGTCGTCCAGACGATTGAACTGCCAACGGGCCTCCTCGCATCCTAGGGCCCCGGCATCCTCGAGGCTGAGGTGGGAGCGAATGTGCCGGACCTGGATGGGCCGATCACTGCTCTCCAGCAATCTCTCCAGAGGAAACCTAGCTTCTTGTGCTTGAACCTCGGACCCACTCGGCTTCCTTTGACAACTCCTGCATTATTACTGTCGCAGACAATGGGCCCTGCAGTGCACTGGGCGGCTCTCAGGATGGCAAGAAGTTCTGCTGCTCGAACTGATTGGTGGTCGATTGGCACTGGTCTGAGCGGAGAGCCGCAAAACCCGAGCCACACCGACGAAGCCTAGGATCAGCCGAAACCTCACCCCCCGACCCATCCGACCCAATCGCGCACCACGTCTAGAACTAGCCGTCTTGCTTGCAACTGCGGGCCGAGTTTCTCGGATCCTTGGATCGGGACTCCGCAGAGGGAATAAGTCTAAGCCAAGGGCGGCAAGCCTCTAAGCCAGAAAATGGGCGCCTCTTGGCTATCATCATCCATTGCCTGCTGAACTACATTCTCTTTGAAACCCGCAATATGGCGGCGGAGGAGCGTCTCCTCAGGGGCCCCACACCTTGGGCGAGAGGGTGACGCCCGCGGAGGATTGGGGCCAAGGAGGGGCTCCGTGTCAAAGAGACCACAAAAGAAATCTGCCTCCTCCTGTTCCTCAGCCGCGCGAGTCCTCTGATCGATCATGGAATCGAAGTCGTCTTCCAACCCTCGCGCCCGGGGGCCAGCGGAACGTTCCCCGGGGCGGAAGGGGCGTCGGGCTTCTACTCCAAACCGGCGGGATGCTGGCCAGAGGGCTCCAGGAGTAAATCATCTCAAGAACAGCTGCCTGATCGTGGGCTCCCGCGGCCTTCTTCATGCTGAGCTTCAGCGGGGCAATGTGCATGTCGGCGCGGTCTCGAAGACCACTGCCTCGGCAGTGTTCGCCAGCTCTCCTCCAGGCTGCCGTCGAGGAGGGCGAAATCGAGCAATCGCTACGGATCACATAGAAGATGATAAAAAACTCCCCCGCAAGGGGCCACCCAACTGTCAGGTTGATCGGGAGACTATTCTGCTTCGAGAAGGCACGCGACCACTGCAAAAACACCCGTTCACCCGCTTCCAGCGGTTGGCCGCATCTCCTAGCCCGTCCCAAGCCTGACCCCAAGCCGCGCGGAGTCCGTGCTCATTGGCCTGCCGGAATGCTGGCAAGAGGTGCGCCCATTCTCTGGGGGCTCGCACGCGGGTTAAAGCAAGCGGGCCACGGTGGAGATTCCGGAAAGCACAACGAAGCACAGCGGTGGCAGAACCTCCTTCCCGCCCCCCCACCGCGCCTGCCATTGCAGCGTGGGGTCGAAGGGCTGTGGTGGGACTGGCTCCTTGGGCTTTACATTCCCGGAGAGCCCGGGGCTGCCGCTCCGCGCGGACTCGGCCCTCGGCTCGCCCGTCTGCTTTCACAGCGCGCTTGATGTTGGATGCTCATTGCGTTGCCTTGGCGAAGCGCTGCTTCAGCACTGCTACTGGGTGGGCCTTGCCTACCGCGCCCATGCCGAGGCCCTTGCCTGACGAGCCCCCTCGAGGAACGTGGCCAGCCGAAGCGGAACACATTGGGGGGTGAGAGCACGAGGATTGGCAAGGACCTGGCTTGTCACTGGATCTGCGAAGCCTGATTCACTACGGCCCCACCACGACCTACCTGCCTTTGGCTGGGGTCATCCACTCAAGATCCCAATGCCAAGGGTCGGCGGGTCGCACGAGCCGCCCCCGGGATATCCCAGGGGGCAATCTCGGCGACGTCAACACTTCGGGAACAACCCGCAGGCAGACTCCTACATGGCAAAATCTGGGATCTGCTGGAGCTCCTGAAGGGCCTCAGGAGGTAACTTGAGCCAGTCCCGAGGATTCTGGAAATCTGCACCGTGGCCCACCGAGGCCGTAGAGCATAGGAGGCCCTCCTCCACCTGATCAACTGAGAGCAGTTCCCGCTCTGACCAGTCTAATGTTGCATGTCTGCGGAAATGCTCCCGCCAGGTCGGGGAAAGCTCGCGCGACCCAGCTTGCCACACATCCGCCCACCTCCGAGCCTTCCCCCCCAGGGCCTGTCCTGGATCAAAAACCATGTCACCTGGCGCGTCGAGCTCGCTGCTAAGCTCGGGGGTTCCAGACCCCCGCGCCTCGGCGCGAAAGTGGAAAACCCCGCTCCCTCTCGAGATAGAGTCTTGCAGCCACGGCTTGGAACACTTGGTGGAGGCTCTTGAGAGATGCGCTTTAAGAGGCCGCGGGAGGAGCGAAAGCGTGAGAAGACTGGCCTCTAGGTCCTTCCCCGAGGCAGCTGGCCCCAGGGACCGCAAAACGTCGAGCTCCGTTTCCCCTCGACTCTCGGGGAGGAGGCGTGGCAGCTGAACAAACGCGGGTTGCAGGCCGTCGAGAAATAATCCGGGGCAGGCCTTTCAACTCAGTGAGCCTAGAGTGCAGCGCCCACCAGACTGAGAGGTTGGAGGTCTGTGCTAACCATCCTTCAGGCTTGGTCGCAACTAAGGGGACGTCCTGCACTTGGACGCGCCAGCCACGATGCATGCTGACGTCTTGAAAACTACTAGGCACATCACGATTGGCGCGGAAGGACTCGGCTGAGAGACAGAAATGCATGTAGGCTTGTCCAAGCCCTCGGGCTGACGGGGCCTCCAGCTGCCTCTGGGGATCTTCAAGGCCCTTTCTGCAAAAGCCCCCTGGTACGCCTCTGGTGAAACTCCCAAGGCAAATCCGGCCCCAGAGCTCGCAACAGAGGGGAAGGCTGAGCGAAGACCGTACGCAGTTGAGGAAAACTGGAAACCCGACGAGTACCTCGGAAGCCTGTATGAGGTTGGGCCCATGGCGAAAGGGGGCCCCAGGTGAGCTCAAGAGCCTGAGAGAGGGCCTCAGAGACCAAGCAAACACATATGAGACGGGCTCCTCCTGGGACCTCACCTTTTTGGGGCACAGAATGATCCTAGCAAGAGGTGCGCAGGCCACTGTCAACTACTTCTTGGGTCTCCACGTTACCATACCCTGCAATGACATACGGTTTGCCTCGCACCTTGACATACCTTGCCACTTCACCCAGGAGCCTAACATGTTGTTCGACTTGGAGGCCCGAGCCCGAGACACGGTAGAGCACCACAAAGACAATGCCATTCTCTACCGTGCGGATGGTGTGGCTGGTCCACTGCGTGGGCAATGGCAGGCCTCACGGGTTGAGGTTAGCCTTGATCTCAAGGAAAAGAAGGCGATGATGCACACGACTGCGCACCAAGGACTATACACCTCCGTGAGATCCACATCGAGAGGTACCAAACTGCCGTCTGGGAAGACGCCTTCCACCCAAGCTTCTTGAGGTTTTTGATGGCTTCAATGTGACGTGGACCATGCAGGTGATGTTCAGCCACAAGAATGAAATCAGAAGTTTGGAATCCCCCATGTCTTGATTCAGGTAGTCCCATGCCTTCTGAGACCAGGAGGTGATGTTCGCGAAATAGAAGGAACAAACTGCGATCTCCTTATCCTCCTGCTCTTGGAGCCGAAACTGCATGCCAAGAATCTGCAAGCCCTCCGCGTCCCCATCCTCGCAGATGCCGCACTTGTCGCAGTCACCGCTCCACCCCCGGGGAAAGCAATTCCTGGGCCATGGGAGCTGTTCACCATGTACCGTAGACGCTGAGCATACCGAAGTCACCGCTCCCCCCAAAGGAATGCACTTGCAGGGCCATGGGAGCTTCGTCCTCCCTCTCCTCCTCCTCCTCCTCCTCCTCCTCCTCCTCCTCCCTCCTCCTCCTCCTCCTCCTCCTCGACCTCCTCCCTCCTCCTCCTCCTCTCCTCCTCCTCCTCCTCATCCTCCTCCTCCTCCCCCTCTCCCCCCATCCTCCTCCTCCTCCTCCTCCTCCTCCTCCTCCTCCTCCTCCTCCTGCTCCTCCTGCTGCTCGTCCCCCCTTTTTCTTAGGCAGGCTATAAGCGACGCAGGGCCCGTGGCGTCAGCCTCCTCATCCTCCTCCTGCTCCTCGTCCTCCTTCCTCGGCACTCCCCAAGGCCGGACAGCGCCAGCCCTCCAAACCTCCGACAATGTGCTCTTTGTTCGGCGGAGCGTCTCTCCTCCCCATGATAGTTTTTGGCCTGAAAGCGCCCTCGCCAGGCCTCGGGACCGTCCAAAACCGGTATGAGAAACCGGCCCCTGGGAAGGGGTCGGGACTGCCGGGGGCCCCGTGCTTATATTCCTCTGCCTACAGTTTTACAAGCGCGGGCGGGGGGAAAACCCGTTCCCCCCCCTAAACAAAAACCAGACTCCCGGGATCTGGGGCTTTGGGACCCTTCGGACGGGCCTCGAAGCGGCCCCCAGGGCCTCGCAGGGCGTTTTGCCAATCCTTCGCAGCACACCTAGGGCGATCAGGGGGGTCATCGGAGACGTCCCAGAGAACCCCAAGACGGCACAAGAGCGCTCCAGGAAGCCGTCATACCCCGAAAGATCGCTCCAAAACATACCAAGAGGCCTCCAAGAGCACCCCCAAGAAGGCCCCAAGAGGGAAAAATAGTTGATTTGATGTAGGTTTTTGGTGAATATGGGGTTCTCCTCTTTTCGGCTTCCCGACGCTCCAAGACAGCGGTCTTCTGGGCGTCCGAAGTCGCATGGGAGGCTCCAAAATCGCCCCACAACCATCCGAAAGGGTTTCCAGGCAGTCCAAGAGAACCCCACAACGGCTCAACAGGGGTCCAAAATGGCCCTAAGAGAGCCCCATGGCGGCCCAAGATGGCCCCAACACACCCTCCGAAGCATTCCAAATCGTGACTGGGGCGTTCAAGGAGACCGCGGTTAGAGGCAGGTTGGCTTTAGGAAGCCGCAGAGGCCCCCAGAACACGCCCAGGAGGCCTCCAGAAGGCTTTAAGAAAGCCTGAGAACTTTGGTGAGGCCCCCAGAGGCTCTCCAAGGAGGAGCCTCCGCAAAAAGAGCTGAGGAGGATGAGGAGAATGCCCAGGGTATGGCGAGAATGAGGAACAGTAAGCATGGAGGAAGGATAACGAACAACATGATTAGAATGGCGATGCCAGAAAAGGCAGCAAGGAGTTATCGCTAAATTGTCCGCTTTACCTTCCTGTCATTTCCGCCTGCATGCCAATCTTCAAGGACCAAGGTGCATGGCGCGAAGCGCCACTGCAGTCTTGTAAATATATACATAGATGTGTCTATATACATGTATTGTTATGTATTGCTTTAGTATATATATATATAAAAAATACATAAATCGATAAGAAAAACAAGGAAATCAAGAAAACACAAAAGCATCGCATGTCTGGGTCCCCTCTCCTGGACCTCCCCTCGCCTCCCTTTCCCTCCCCTCCCCGCTGTGGCCGTGCCTTCCGAGAACCGGCGGCGCGCTCAACTCAGGAGGCTCGGAAATTTCCTGGCCTTCGGAAAAGCTTGCCGAGCCTTCTGGTCGAGGATGAGGATGGAGGACGACTATCGAGTTTCGGCAACGAAGATCGAGGATGAGGGTCGAGATTCGAGAAAGAGGATCGAGGGAGAGGATCGAGGAAGAGGATCGAGGAAACGGATCGAGGGCGAGGATCGAGGACGAGGATCGAGAATGAGGATCGCTCTCCGCCGATAGTTCAATCTGGGCGGAGTTCCTCGACTTCGGCCTCCGTGGGCCGCTCCTGGGCCGCCCTGGGGTCATCAACAAAAACTTGCTCCGGGGCGCAGAACTGCAGCGAAACCCGCAGAAGAAGGACGCACGATGAGGATGCAAGGGCCTTGGAAGGCCATATCGACACTCTGCGAACGGGGCGCTGCAAACGAAAGCGGCCACGGATGGGCCGAAGGGGAAGGATGAAAGGGTCACCTCGGAGGACAGGTAGGAGCACGGGCGCTGTTCGAGTCCAGGGGGGACGAGGAGGAGGAGGAGGAGGAGGAGGAGGAGGAGGAGGAGGGGGAGGAGGAAGAGGAAGAGGATTGAAAAACCGCTCATCCTGACTATGCAGGTTAGCTGTACCCCTGGGTAGGGGGTCGGGACCTCCGGGGCTGCGGATGGGGGAAACCATCGCGCCCGGAGGATGCCACAGGGCCCCCGTCCTTCACAGGCCTGCTCGCGCCGTGGCCGCCAAACAGAAATCACAACGAGAGGCTTTTGGGGTGTACTCGTGGGCTCTCGCGCCTCGCCGAAAGCGCCCTCGGCCCTCGTCGAGGCCTCCCCCAGAGACGCAGGCAGCTTATCAGAGGGCGCGAGGGTTTCTGAGAAGTCTCGCCGCCTCCTGAAAAGGCTTTTTCCTTTTCATTTCCCCCCGTCGCTCGCCGCCGATATTTGCGTTCGCGTTTTCAACCGCGACGTTTCTTTGTTTCAGTCGTGGGGGCGGTACCTTTTTTCGTTTTGGGACCAGGCCGGGCGCCGAACAGTTTTTGCCCTCGGCCTCCGTCGTCAGCGCCTATCGATCGATCGATGATTTTTAAAAAGCGCGTTCGTGCAAAGGTGTGTTTGGCCCACCGCAGCCCCTCACACCGACGCAAGCATCACAGGCTGCGCGTCGCCGACACAGGCGGCGGGCCTGCGGGCCTACGGGTCTGGGCCGGGCGCCGAGCACCTTTTGCCCTCAACCATCCCTACGGTCGGAAACTCTTGGATACCGTGTCGCCGCGGCGGCCTTTGCGACAAGCTATGCCTTGCGGATAGCGCGTCGTTCCGCTCCGCGGGGCGGGAGGTTCGGGAAAGCCTTGGTCCCGGAAGTGGAGAGCGCGTCGCGCGGAAGCGCGGCGGGCCAAAACCCGCGGGGCGACGCGCTAGACGCGCGTTCCTGACCGTAGACACGTTCGCGTCGCCACTGAAATCACGGCGGGCGGTTATCAGATATTTTCGGCCTCCAAGGCCCCTCTCGGGGCCCCGACGCCGTCGAGAAACAGCCCAGAATGCGGGGCCCCAAAAAAGACACCGTCACCACCTCCGCAACCCCATCCATCCCCCAGGAAAGAGACGGGGGGGAGGAGGGTAGAGGAAGGAGGGGGGCGGGAGGAGCTGGTGGTGCATATTCTTGGGGCCCGCGCGAAACGCAACACAGGCGCCGGGGAATGCGGCGGGGTTCCCAAGGACCCCTTAATGAATTGTTTACTGCGTGGAGCTCCCCATATGCGCATCTTTTCTCCAAGGTTAGATTGCATATGGGAAAGTAAAGTGAGCGTCTAGCTATATGAGCCATATGTGCATCTAGTATTGTAGGGTAGTGTTATGGCGAGCATATGTATCTGACAGCTGTGTTATAAGAGCGCGTCTACGTGAGCGACGAGCGCACGCGCGCGCAGCTCGGCTGCACATCCAACACATGTATACGGTCACCCGCAAGCATATGTCAGCGCATCTGGTTTGTCAAAGCAGAGAATTGATTGGCACTGCGTCGCAAGCACCGTGGCAGAGGTCGTTATCGCTTGCGCCGTCCACGCCAAGATGGGGCTACCGAGCGGAAGAACACAATGAGAAACTCACGCGGAATGCCGTCCGCACTTGGCATCGGGCCATGTTTGGGCGAGCGCCTAAGAGAAACGTAGGATGATGGGGCAAAGTGAATACGTTCGCGCATTGGCCGCCCGCACTTGGAATCGGACAAGGTTTGGCTCAGTGCGAAGACAGGGGAATAGCTGAGCGCGGAGACATGAGAAAAACAAGCAAACAGCCGTCTGCACTGGGCGTCGGGATTTGCAGCGCCAGGCAAGCGGCAGAGGGATCTGGGCAACAGAAATGCCGTCCGCACTGGGCATCGGGCCAGAAAGACTACAGGCCGTCACTCTTCCTCTGGCAGAGTTATGCCGTACTCCCCAGCAAATAAGGCGGCTCTCGCCACCGTCGAGTCCCCAGTCGCCGAGAAGCGTCGAAGAGCGCGTTTCAATGACACTGGCGGACCTCTCTCCAAGAGCCAGCGAGGCGGCGGGCTCGCCAGCAACGCGCCCGCCATTCGAGCGGCGCGGGAAAACGCCACGCCGAGGTTCAACCGCCAAGTGTCATCGTTGATGCCTCGTCGCCCCTGAGGCGCCTGGCTCGCGCAGTCAATTGCCACTGCAGCGCGCGTCGTCTGCCCTTGCGAGGCAGTTGTCGCCAGGTAGTGCGCGCGCGAGAGCATGAAACTAAACCGCCCCACGCTGTGCGCCGCGGACGAAGCCCCCTAGTCAAGGTCGTCTCCATCGGGGGCACGCAGAAGGGGCCGCGAGCAATATTATCATCTTTGCTCGCGTTGTCCATGAAATAGACCCACGTGGGCGCCTCCGTGAAATCGTCGACCTGCAACCAGATGCCAGCGGGCGGCGACAAGATTGGAAAGCGCCGCGGAGAGAGAAGGCAACATTCCACGGCGACACAAGCTCCGCGCCAGCAGCGCCCGGCCACTCCTCCTTGACCGCCGCGCGCAACGGGGAGGGCCACTCGGGGCGCGACGCGAAGACAGAAAACAAGCAAACCGCTCGAGACATACATCCCCGCAGAACGGCGACGAACGGAGCCGTGAAAGCACCCTTGGCGGCTCCGCGGCTCCCCTTAGGTAGCTGAAGCCAGCGCCCCGCCTGATGCATCCTCACAATCTGCTCCAAGCGAAGGATGTTGAAGCAGAAAACAG